ACGATGGGGTGAGCAATGACAAATGCAGACCGACTTTTCCCGCAGTTGAGAGAAATACCATGCCCAGATCTGATGGAATCAGCCCTCTGCCTACTTCTCTCAACACTTCCTACCTCTCACTCACTCACGCCCCAGCCATCTGCCTTCTTTCTCCTCCTTGAACACGCCACGTTGGCTCTCACCCCAGAACCTTCACCCTGCTGTTCTCTTGGTCTGGAATGCTTTTCACTCAGATCCACTCAGTCAGTTTCCTTCTTGCCACACAGATCTCAGCTGAAATGTCCTCCCCAAAGCGACCTCATCTGAATATCCCACCTAACACTCCCTCCAGCTCTCCCTGTCGTACTGACCCCTGTTCTGTCCTATTTCACCACTCCCTCTCCGAGTTTTGTTTGTTTGTCTTCCTCAGTGGAATGGCAGTTTCTGAGTACAGGGAACTTATGCCTCACCTTCATTTTTATCCCCAGTGCCTACAACAGTGCTTGGTACATAAAAGGCATCCAGTGAACAAAGAGGGCAAGGTGGAGATTGGCCACCTGAGAGGGCAAGGCGAGACAGGAAGCAAGAGACCCCCTGAAGGTTAGTTTATACCTGCAAATCCCTAAGCCTGAATTCTCTCCTAGCACCTGAGCAACTGGAATGGGAACGGGATGGGGGAGAGGAACCACATTAGAAACCACCCCAAACCCCAGGTTACAGGGAAAAGTGTGCATGGTGGCCCTCCTCCTGCACCCTATGGCACATACCTTTCAGAAAAGGCCTTAACAAAACATTGTTCTTTTGGCCAGGGAGGTTCCAAACTTAACCCTCAAGAAAGACTGAACCCGAGACGCTGCAGAAGGTCCTCCGACTACGGAGAAGGGTCTAATTACAAGTAGCCATGGGGAAGGATACGATTTTAGATTCAGGGACCCAGGAGAAACCAAGACCCAGACATGTCACAGACTTCATGATCAAAGAAACAAGGAACAGCGTTTTAACCCAAAACACTGACACTTTAAAAGCAATACTAAACGAAGAGAAAAATATATGCTAACACAGAGGAAAGAAGTTAACAGCTGCTCTTTGCTTTGTTATGAAACCTTAAAAACACACGATTTTTCCTTTGCCATCTGAAAATGTCTCAGCAAGTTCTGGCACACTGCTCTCTACCAGAGACAGGTTCTCTTCTTCACCTTCTGAATTTTACCATCACTTTCTGTTTCCTGTTGACTGAAGGGAAATTCAATACATTACTTGGAAACAATGTTATGCTGAGAGGTTCAGTCTACTCTATGAGGCAGGCAGGCACGCCAATCGCTCCTTTTCTTAGAAGCAGAAGCTAGGGGCCAGCATTGTACCAACATCCCATATGCGTGCTGGAGCAAGTCTCAGCTGTTCCATGTTGGATTCAGCTTATTGCTAATGCTCTCTAGAAAGCAGCAGAAGATGGCCCAAGTGCTTGGGCCCCTGTACCCACTGGGAGACCTGGATGGAGTTCCAGGGTCTTGGCTTCAGTCTGGGCCACTGCAGCCATCTGAAGAGTGAAGTAGTGGGTAAAGATCTCTCTCTCTCTCTCTCTGCCCCTCTTGTAAAGATTCACAAATTTTTTTCTGGCCCACATAGACTTTTTTAAAATGCATTGTACTGGGTAGGTGTTAACACCTGGTCACAGTATACACTTCTGTACGAGCTTGCTTAAAAAAGGATACTGCAGGGGCTAGCACTGCGGTGTAGCAGGTAAAGCCACAACCGGTGATGCTGGCATCCCATATGGGCCCTAGTTTGTGTCCCAGCTGCTCATTTCTGATCCAGATCCCTGCTCATGACCCAGGAAAAGCAACAGAAGATGACTCAAGTAATTGAGCTCCTGCCACCCATGAGAGACCCGCATGAAGGTCCTAGTTCCTGGCTTTGACCTGGCCCAGCCCTGGTGGTTGAAGCCATCTGGGGAGTGAACCACCAGATGGAAATCTCTGTCTTTTTCTCTCTGTAACTCTTTCAAATAATTAAATAAATCTTGAAGAAAAAAATGGATGTTGCAGAGTCAGCATTTGGTACAGCAGTTACGATGGCACTTGCAACGCCCACATCCCACCCCAGAGTGCTTAATTCCAGTCCTGGCTTCACTCCTGATTCTAGCTTCCCACTGATGTGCACCCTGGAAGGAAGCTGTGATACGCTACATGGGTCTCTGCCACCCACACAGGAGGTCTGGATTGAGTTCTGGGCTCCTGGTTTCAGCCTGGCCTGGTCCTGGCCACTGTGGGCATTTTGGGGGTCAACCAGCAGATGAGGAATCTTTCTGACTTTCAAATACATAAAAATTTAAAAAAATCAAAGTGGGTACTGCATGCATTTATCTGTGTGTTGTTAACTTTGCATTCTCAAAACACCATCATGGCCCAGCAGCTCTGTGGACAAATCTGATGGGAAGCTAAAATATATATGCCACAGCATGCCAGGGAAAACAAACTGGGATCCAGTAGTTCCAAAAGCATCTGTTTTGTGTAACTCATTTCTACACTTGCTACAAAAAATGCATTGCGGCATGAGGTTTTTCCCCTTCTGCATGTTTGCATGATTAGATCTAACAGAAGCGTAAAAGAGACACACACCTCTGGTTTCCAAACTCCAGAAACAACAAGGCAACCTCTCAGGGCTTTCCTCTGAGTGAAGCCAGCCAGCACAGCTGGTCAGGAGTGATCCACACCCATCAATCATCAGGAATTCACTCAACACCCTTCTCCGTCCCAACCCCATATCCTCCACAATCAAAACAAATGGCAGAGCTGAAGGCACAGGGAGGGAAGAGAAAGAGGTTGCCAAGTGCCGGCACATGCTCCGACAGCTTCCACGTTCTGACGCAGGCCTTGCATTTTGCAGAAGTGACATCATTGGGGAAAATCAGTCAAGAGTCAGCAGGCCTCACTTTGTGCTTTCAAAGCCTATCATGAACTACCTACAAAAATAGTTGGGCACGCAAGGACATAAGCTCACGGATGTACACCATCATTCCCAGGCGTGGAACACTGGAGGAAATGGAATGTCAACAGAAGACTGCCTGGAAAACTAGGCAGTTGTTAAAAAGAATTATAAGGGCCGGCGCCGTGGCTCACTAGGCTAATCCTCCGCCTGCGGCGCTGGCACCCCGGGGTTCTAGTCCCGGTTGGGGCGCCGGATTCTGTCCCAGTTGCTTCTCTTCCAGTCCAGCTCTCTGCTGTGGCCTGGGAAGGCAGTGGAGGATGGCCCAAGTCCTTGGGCCCTGCATCTGCATGGGAGACCAGGAGAAGCACCTGGCTCCTGGCTTCAGATCGGCGCAGCATGCCAGCCATAGCGGCCATTTGTGGGGTGAACCAACAGAAGGAAGACCTTTCTCTAACTCTGCGTGTCAAAAAAAAAAAAAAAAAAAGAATTATAAGGATGAGTACAGATGAAAGTTCGTGTCAGGTTAGGAAGTTAAGAACGGGTGCTACTTGGATTATGTCGTCTCTCTGCTGCAGGGGTAGAAATGGTCATAGAAGGCTGTGGCAGACTAGGGTACAGCAGGCTCTGAGAGCAGTACTTCTATTCAACACACTTCTTTACAGTATACCTTTTTTCTACAGTACACATATGTTGCTTCTGAAATTTTAGAAAGCTTATACTTGTACAATAAAAATAGAATAGCTATTGTTCCAGGATAAATTTATTCTACTGAACAAGATGCCAGGGAAAAGAATGCTCCCCGTCCTCCACCCCTTTTCAAACATTTCTGGAACACCTACTAAGTGCTTGGCCCTGCTGGGAGAGGCCGACTGAGGCCGCTCCAGCCACAGTAGTCGGTGCAAACGCAGCGCCAGCGGCAGGCACAGCCTTGGTCCAAGCAGCCACGCTCTTGTTAGGAAATTACCTTGCAAAGAAAGGGAGTGCCATGTCTTGGCTGGCACTTTCCAAGGCAAAAGAACACATTTTGGAAACAAAAATAACATCTTAGAATTAGCCAACTTAGGAAACGATCTCCAAAAAAATGAGATAAAACATACACACCAGACGCCCCTGAGACACAGACAGCAAGGAGAGCCGGGTTTCAAAACTGGTTACAATACAGGCGTGGTGGGGGGGCGGGGGCGGGAGTGGTCAGGCTCTGGGAGCAGCTGGTATCCAATTACTCTAACCAAGTCCTAAAACGCCATCCTAGCCCAGGATACGCCGAAACCAAACTGGCAGCGAAAATGACAGGCCTGGGCCCAGCACACGCTACAAAGGCCATGTCTCTGGAAATAAAGTTAAAAGCAGCCCAGGGCTCAAAGTAGAGAGAGGCACAACCTGGCAGCGCACCCTGCACAAAGACATGGGCGAGGCTCAGGCCCCCGGGAAGGCGGAGAACCTGGGATGGCTTGGGGACGAGCTAGGAGCGTCCCGCAGGGCCGTGTCCAGGTGATGCTGCGCTTCCCCGCGGCCTCAGGGAGCCAGGTAAGCCCAGCCGGCACTCAAGCTGCGGGGTCAGCGTTTCCAGCCCCCGGCCAGGGCTTCCGCCAAGTGCTGTCAGGAGAAATCCGAACCGTCCCGCAGCAGCCCCGGTGTGTAACGGCGGGGAGCCTGCTCCACACGCGGAGCCCAGGGGAGGTTTTGGGAAAGAGGCCTGCACTCGGGGTGGGGGTGGGGGGTGCAGTGCTGGGAGCGAAGGGACCCGGGGACCTGCGGGCGGCCGGACCCGAGGGTCACGAGGAGGCGCTGGGGCGTCCGGGACCGGAGTGCGGCGAAGGGAAGCGGGACCGGGCGGGCGCGGACGGAGACGCAAAGTTGGCCGGGACGAGGAGCCGCGCGCGGGCACACACGGTGCAAAGGCACGAAGGGAGGCTCCGGGACCCGCGAAGTGTGCGCAGCCGAGAAGCGAGGGGGCGCGCGGGGCAGAGGCGGGGAGTGGGTGGGGAGGGGTCCCGAGAGCGTGGGCGGGCGCCGGGGCGGAGGAGTTTCGGGCTGCAGCGGCGTCCGCCAGCGGCCAACGCCCGCGCTCCGCCGGCCAGCTCGGCGCTTACCTCAGCTCCGGCTGTGAGGACGAGGCCGCCGTGGTGGCGGTGGCAGTGGCGGCAGTGGTGGCGGTGGCGGCGGCGGCGGCGGCGGCAGCGAGGCGCGGCCCGGGTCCTCGGGCCCCCGCCCCGCTGCTCGCGACCGGCGTCTTCCATTGGCTGCCGCGCCACGGGACGCGTCCGTCTCGACCAATCAGCGCCTAGCAGCGCCGTTTGGAAACTTTTTTCCCAGGCCCGGGCGCGGCGCGGCCACGCGGCGGCGGTCCTGGGCGGGAGGAGGCCTGGGAGGTTCCCGCGGCTGCGCCGGGACCGGCCGGCCGCTCCGTGGACTCCCAGAAACGAATTTAGGCTTGCCGGCCACGCCGTCCAGGAACACACCTCGGCTGTCTCCTCCACGCCGGTTGCATTTTACCGTTCTTGCTCTTTCCGCCATCAGAGGGAAGAACAAAGATCGATCCAGGCTGGCTGAAAGTAGCCTTGCCCCATATTGTTCCTGTTCCTCTACATCTTAGAAGAGACACTTTGCATTGTCTTACTCCTCAGGGGCAGCAGAACTTAGTAGAATTTGCTCTTAAGCCTGGTTTTGAATCCTGATTCTCATTAGCTGTGTGATGTTGGGCAAGTTACCCAACAGCTGTGACTGTTTGGGGATTATACAGGGCTAAATGAGTTAATTTAGCATTTGTAAAAGTTTAGGGTCGGTGCTATGGCGAAGTAGGGAAGGCCGCCACCTGCAGTGCCGGCATCCCATATGGTGGCCGGTTCTAGTCCTGGCTGCTCTTCTTAGAGTCCAGCTCTCTGCTATGGCCTGGGAGGGCAGTGGAAGATGGCCCAAGTCCTTAGGCCCCTGCATCCACGTGGGAGACCCAGAAGAAGCTCCTGGATTTGATCAATGCAGCTCCGGCCATTTGGGGAGTGAACCAGTGGTTGAAAGACCTCTCTCTCTCTTTCTGCCTCTCAAAAAATAAAAAAAATAAAAAGTTTAGGACAGTGCTTTGACCTAAGTACAATATACTTGTTTAATGATCATGAATTTTTTTAGTGGTTAGTGTGTCATACACAATCCTAAATTCTTGGTATGGGTTTTTAATTTAATTTTCAACAGTAACCCTAATAGTTCACTTACAAATATTTATTGAGCACTCCTAAATGCAAGACACTCCGATTACCCAGTGAATAACTCAAAGATCTGTCCTCACAGGGTTTGCAATTTCAAGAGACACTAAACCAGCAAGCAGATAATGAAAGATTTTCAGGTTAGTGATAGGAATAAAGCAAATTCATGTGATAGGAGAGGGCTGGGTAGAGGCCACTGCAGAGACTGGACAGAGTAGGCCACTCGAAGGAGGTGGCAGTGGAGCTGAATGTCCAGTGATGAGAACCACATGGGAGCATTTGTGTGGACTCATTTTTCTTTTTGCTTATTTATGGCTTGAAAGGCAGAGAGAGAGTGACCTCACATCTGCTCATATACTCCCAAATGCCCTCAACAGCTGGGACTGGGTCTGGCCTACGCTGAGATCGGGAGCCCAGAACTCAATCCAGCTCTCCCGTGCGGGTGGCAAGCAGTGGAGCCACCACCCCAGCTATGGGAACATCAGCAGATAGCTGGAATAGGAGCGGAGATGGGACTGGAACCGAGGGGCTCTCTTGTGACATGCAGGTGTCCCAAGTGGTGCCTAACTGCTGATCTTTCTCTTCCTCATTTTCAAAGGTGCAGGAAGTTAAGCTGCCCAAGGTCTTGCAATTAACTTCAGTAACAAATCAGGCTCCAAAGCTGCCTCCATGGATCTCCTACACCACTGCTCCTTGGGACTGTGCCAGAGGCCTCCCACCATCCTTAGAGTTCTTCCTGCCTCTCTGCTCTGCTTGGAAGGAACCTTCTCGAATTCTACTTTGAGTCCTTGCTAGTTCCTCAAAACAGCTCAGAGCCAAAAAAGAAAGCCTCACCACCCACATCAACAGGGTTAAGGAAAGTACCAAAATGTCTTTCAGGAAATTTCCCTTCTGGTCCCAAACACTGATAAATATTTTGTGTTGTACTTCTCAGTTTATTTGGTCTGATGCTTTCAGCAGTTTATTTGACCCTCACCAAGTCGTGAGGTTTCTGGGCAGTGAGTTATCACCCCAGTTCACAGATAAACCGAATCAATGAATGGCATGAATCAGGTCATTTAAACTAATCATTTCCCAGTATCCCAACTTTTCCATCCAGAAAAGCAACAGGCACTGAAATGATTGAGTTCTATTCAGGAATAAGAGTTTAGAGAAATGGGGTTGTTATTAAGTCTTAAAAATGAAGGAAAATTTTTGGTATACTGCTTTAAAACGTTTTCCCTTTTTTTCCTAAATTCAGTTTGTTTCCTGTAGCCTTGCCTTAGCCTGAACAGATAGCTTGGTTTCTCCTCCTTAGGTCCTTCCTTTAAAATTTACCAGTTCAAACCACTGAACTAATACAGGTAGAGGAGAAGGTGCTTGGAAGAAACCCCTTTAGTGGCAGCCTGGTTTAACGGAGGGGCCGAATCAAAGGTCAAGCAACCACTGGAATAGCATCAACATCAGTCTTCAGCCTGGCTTCATGAAAAGATGAAGATAATTTGAACAAGGAAAGAACGGAAAGTTACTTTTACTCTCTGATAAGAGCTTTCCCAGGAAGGAAATGGAACTAACAGAGACTATACATAGGAAAATAGACCTTAAAGTACTTTTACAAATACCAACTCGTTATTTTGATCCTTAATTGTCTCCTTTAAGAGCTGACAGACTCTTAGTCTAGTTTTCTATAGGAAGCAATACAATTACATTTCCTTTAAAATATCTGTAATTCTGTCATTAGCCTCCCATTTAGTGCTTTTTTTTAATTCACTGCATTTACCTGTTGAGATAAGGCACAGCTCTGGACTTGAAAGAATGCCAAAAAAAGTGAAGTAAAATGCTTCTCTTGTGATTCAAAACTCTTTAAAAAGGCAATTATATTCCCTAATTGCTTTGTTTCCTGTTATATATTTTGAGTTAGCATGGGCTGTGTTCAGAGATTCTCAACTGGAATAAAGACGGTAAGGAAAAAAACACCTATTAAGAGTAGTCAAGTATTTGGTTCTTGAAAAAAAAAAAAGCCCCAATGTTATTAACAGGGTTGATCTGTTCTAATTCCCAGGGGGAACGCAACTGCCCACACACACACACACACACACACACACAGAGAACGTTTTGCTCAGCAATGATGAGTACCTGAGCAGGCAGATGATGCATACCTGTCCCGGCCTTGGAAAACTAAATACAGGCACAAAGGAGCCTGTGGCTACAAGTCTGATCTTGTCCTCCCAAACACGTGCCCTCAAGAGCGTCTACAGGGGGGCAGCAGTCCCCAGTTAACCCGGATTGATGGCCTCCGGGAATCACCTCGCACCAGAGACTTGAGGGGGAAAGCGTCCTCCTTGGGCAATCTCGACTCGTTGATTCGTCTGCAGAACGAATTTGCTTCGTGGCAGTCCGTAAAAGTAACCTTTCTACAGCCTAGCCGGTTAGCTCATCCTGAGCTGCGCGTAGGTTGAAAACTTCTGTTTTCTCCTCATTTGCAGCAGGAAATGGGCGTCAGCTGGCAGTTTCAGACATCACCCCGTGGCTTACAAAAATGTTTGAAATTTCAGGCAAAGGCACGGATTGTGGGGCTTTTTGTTGTTGTTTTTAAAGCAAAACACATGGCATATTTATGCAAACACAAAGTGTTACGGGCTTCAAAATGCTTCTTTCGGCTCGCCCAACCTGTCGGTGAAAAACTTGTGTTCACTGGTACCGAGCTGGAGACCTGCACAACCTAGTTTCCTTACTGAAGTCAGCGAGGACCGGGTATTCGTGGGAGACACTGCCCAGCACACACTTTTTAATTTTTGCCAGCCGGGTGGAAGCCCCTTGGGCGGTTTTTTTTTCTCACACTCGCCACTAGGCTGCGCTAGAAATGAAGGACTTTGTGGACTATGTGCCATTTAATTTTTAAAAATAAAATAGGGCTATCACGTGATGAGAGAAAAAAAAAGCGAAACAATCGCGTTTTTATTTAAATCCGTTTAAGTCGCCTTCCTTCCAACGAGCCGAAAAGCTGAATTTTATTAAGTCCTCTTCGGTCAGTTCTTCTCGGTTCCATCCCACAAGCCCCCCAATTCCCTCCTCGGAGGTTCCTTTTGACTCCACAGCGGTAAGCCTCGAGCAAGGCCTCCTTCAACTTAGGGGTTCCGGCCACAAAAGTCACAGTTGCCCCCCGGGAAGTTCCCTATTTAGAGGTTTATCGGGAGGGGACTGAGCCTGACGAGGCTGCAGGGCCGCGAGGCCCCGCCCCCCCCGCTGGTCCAGCATGCCCTGCGCGTGGAGGACGCGGCAGCGGGGGAGGGGCGGAGGAAGGGGCGGGGCGAAGTCGGGGAGAGAAGGGCGTCGGTTTTGCGACAGGGGAGGTGCGGTGCGGAAGCGGAAGTGGAGGGTGCGCTTGGCGGCGGCGGCGGGAGCTGCGGAGTCGGGAATCAAAACAAAGGGCCTGGGGGGGCGGGGGGAAGGCGGCGGGGCCGGAATGTGAGCGGAGGTGGAGCTGGTGGCAGAGGTGAGTTTGCTGTCCGCTCTGGGACTAGACCTTGATGGGCCCACTGCTCTGGGGCTCCCAAAGCTGGACGGGGAACATTGACCCCCGCCTCCCTCCGCTTATTGCTGGCGTGTTGTGGGGGGTGGCTATTCCGAAGGGGAGGACTGGGACCCGCCGGTGAGGCCGGCGGCTTGTTTTCTTGTCAGGTCCGTTCACTTTGTCGCGGCTGCGCCGCTGTTCCTCTTAGTAGGTATTTGGCTCTCCGCCCGCACCTGTCTCTGTGCTCCCTATACTGCCCTCCAGGTGTGGAAGCCACCTTTTCAGAGGGGTGTGGCCAGGTGAAAGGTTGAGAGGGAAAGAATCGGGCGAGTATTATCGCACCCTTGCCTCCCCAGCGTTTTGTATTTTGCTGGGTCTTTCAGCCACCTCTGGGGTGTAGCCTTAGGCGTGACAGGTACCGTTGAGTTGCCTAAGGGCTTTAACCATTCCTGCTGCGAATTGTAATTCCTCTTGGGATAAACCTTTTAGTTTCCCAGTTACGAGCTTGTCAGTTACGTTTGTATCTCTTGGACTTTCCAGCGTCTCTGAGCGGTAAATAG